TGCACCAGCACAGAGCAAGCCCCATTGCTCTGCAGTGCTCTGGATGCCAGGAAGCTGCCCCAGGCGCTGGGAAAGGCCCGGAGCACTCACATCTCACACCTCGGTGCAGGCGGGAAGCAGGCGCTGCCATCCGCATCCCGGGGGAGCTGGCTCCAGCGCCAGCCCTCCAGCAGTCTTTGTGCTTACACAACACAGCAACACAAGGCGCCCAGCCCCGGGGCTGCGTAAAGACAAACACCGTCCTGCGCCAGCACTGAGCTCCGCTCACCTGCAGAGCCGCCACCGGTGTTCTCCGGCAGGGATCCGGGCTGCCAAAGGGATGTGCTTTTTGTTCCAGCTCAGGCAGTGCCCCGTTTTACACAGTTAACAGCTTACAGGGACCTGCCACAGCTCCCACACCAAGTGTGGCACCCTAAATTTGACTCCTTCCTCAACCTGGCCTCCAGGCAGGGCCATACCCCATTCATCTGTAGGGCTGTATCCATGCTGGGACCATCCAACAAAGACGTGTCTGATCATTACACTGGAAGCGCTATGATGGAGAGCAGAGCCCCACTAAAGCCCTCTCATCGCCTGCCACACCACCTGCATCCATGGTACAACACAGGGTCTTATGCTGAAGCTGGAGTTGTAAGAGAACCCCACTGAGCCTTACAGGAAGAGCATCTCAGGGGACTCCTGTTACCCACAAGGGCTGTGAGAAGCACCATGGGGCCTGCAGTGAGCACAGAGATCAGCAGCTCCTTCTAGCACCACCACAGCACAGCATCCCCAGGCATAGCAGTGTTTAATGCTGCATCCAGCAACAGCACAGAGCTGCACAGGGGATGGGATCCACAGCACTGCCTGGCTCCACACCCATTGCTGATTTGGTCCTGCCAGGCTGAGTCGAAGTATAATTGAGGATTATAATCTCAGAACAGCACTAACCTTGACATGAGGTGAGGTCTGGATCACAAACCCCAGATTATCTCAGGGGTTACACACAGAAGTGCCTTGGAGGAAGCACAGTGAGCTGTGAGCAGGACCCTACAGCAGCAAAGTCAGTTTGGACCACGCTGTCCTCCCAGTAAATCAGAAACACGTCCTTTCAGGGAAGTGGCTGCATCATGGGGACACAGAGAAAGGGAGAGGAACCCTGGCTGGCCAAAGGGGTGGCTCATCCTGATCTGCTCTGCCTGCTTGGCTGTGTGCTTCCAGCACATCAGGACCAGGACTCCCTGCTGCAGAGGTGCAGGAAGCACCCAGCCTCCCAGGGCACCGAGAGCACAGTAACACAAATCCTGCCACCATCCCCACAGCCTCACCTCCCTCCAGCATCTCCCAGCCAGCAGGCAAGTGCTCCCGGCTCCATTTCACAGCAAGGCAAAACTAAGGCAAGCAGAGAAGTGATTTGGTGACAGCAGAGCAGGAAGCGTGTGCAAGAGCATGGGGACCCCACCATGCAACCACCCTGGGGCACCCTACGTGCAAGGCAGTGTGAGCACCAAAGACCCCAACACATTTTACCCCATAGGAACTTGCCAAGGGAGCTCTGCAGTGGGGTGAAGTCTTGCAGTTCCCATCGGGCTGCATGATGCAGATCCCATCGGGCTGCATGATGCAGATCCCATCGGGCTGCATGATGCAGATCCCATCGGGCTGCATGATGCAGATCCCATCGGGCTGCATGATGCAGATCCCATCGGGCTGCATGATGCAGATCCCATCGGGCTGCATGATGCAGATCCCATCGGGCTGCATGATGCAGATCCCATCGGGCTGCATGATGCAGATCCCATCGGGCTGCATGATGCAGATCCCATCCTGCTCTCACAGATCTGCAGATCATCCAGGCTCTGGCTCCCTTCAGCGAGCTCTGAGAAATCTGCTGTGCAGAGAGTTTATGGGCCCTTTTGCCCTCCCTGCAGGTTCTCTGTTCAGGGAAACATATGGCCCTGCTGGTTTGGATTTGATGGCGTACGGCAGGGTGAAACAGCACGTGTGGCTTCCCAGCGAGGAAGCTGCAGCCCAAAGGATGCCGAGTACATTTCTTTGTGCCTGGCTATGGAGGAGCTGCCTTCATCCATGGCCAGGGAATGAGGAGCCGCTAACCCTGACAGGACTTAGCTTATCTTTTGCACTGTGGCTTTGACCGGAGCCACTTTGGGGTGAGGTCTTAGTCGTGTTAAGGACAGCAGGACAAACCCACAGTGGGAAGCCAGTATTTCACCCAGAAGTTCAGCTCAGCTGGAACCAACATTTACGAATGTTGGAATCCAGAAAGATTTGCAGAATTGCACAGGAATAGATATAATTGAACTCATTTTCCCTTTGAAAATTAAGCTACGATGGAAGAGTAGGAAACAACAGCAATGCCAGTGGGTTGGGATGAAAAACAGATACATAAAGATGCTGAACAGTCAGACATGGCATACCCCGAGCATTCCTTCCCCAGCCTGGAAGAAAGCAGAAGGTAGATGGTAGCAGCAATGGAGCAGCCAGGTGGAGACCCGGCGCTCAACACGTGCCTCTGACATTACTCCACTGAAGTCAGATGGAGCTCAAACATTTTGGCAGTGTTTCTCAGTGGTGAATCTCCCAGGTCTTGAATCGGTTGCAGATTCAGTTGAAGGCACTCGCAGTAACCAAGACTGGAAAATGTGCTTTGTTGGTGTCCCTTTAAAACCTCCTTCTGTGTTGAAAAAGGAGGCTGTATCCCAGCCCCTGGTTTTCCATGTTTCACATTCTCCAATCACGGCATGAGATCCGACCTGCTTGCTGATTCCCAGGAAATGTTTGTAACCACTCGCCCTGCAAACATTTCCTATGGTGGTGGGGTCAAGCGAAGACCTTTTTGACTTGCTTGTCTTCAGCACATCTGAGCTGACCTCATCTAAATCACTAGTGAATTGTTCCTGAACCTTTGGCAAATTTGGTCCGAATTCTGTTTGTTTTAAGTTCATTTGTGTTAACTTGAGATCTAGGCAGGACAGGACGTGACAAACACATCCTGCGGTGTTTCTGGCTTCCAATGAACTAATTGCTGGAAACTTGGCAAGAAAAGTGGGTTTTGGAGTTGGGGGTTTCAGATAAGCTTTAGATAAGTGCTTGAACAGAACCATCCCCTGGGTGGGCCTGATGCAACCTGTGCTGAAAAGCCCTCCATGGAGCTGCTCCTCTGGGCAGCTGAGCCCATGCTGTCTCTGGACCAGGGCTTCATGTGATGATAAGCACACTTACTCCTCCCTGTAACAGCCTCTGGGTGGCCTTGAGCCATCAGTGATAACAGACTCTTATGTTACAGGTTTGCAGGTTGGTGTTCAAAAGGCCTCTCCCCTAAGGAGCAGACACTATGTTGAGCAGGCAATACCTTCCCTTAGGGCTGCACTTCATACCCCATCGACTGCTCACCCAGTCCCAGCTTATTGGGGTCTTCCTCTGCCAAAAGAAACAGTTCAGCCCCTGAGCCTTATCTGGGAAAAGCATGATTTACGGGAGATGACAGGACCTTTCCCATTCCACCCAACAAGCAGCTGCTTGGGGAATGCAAATGGAGACACACCAATGAGCGCTGGAGGGGTTTAGGGATCTAAGGAGGAGAAGGGAAGGAGAGGGAGCGGCCTTGGGGCGAAGCAGGAACAACGGGAAGCTGAGGATGGAGCAACTGGAGCACTCGGTGTGCTCCATATGTGGAGAAACCCTGTGACACTGGAACAACCTCCCAAGAACTGGAGGAAGCCTCGCTGATGGAGACATTCCAGGCTAGCCCAGGCAAGGCTCTGGCAAGCAAAGCAGAGGGATCACCCCTGCATTGGCTGGGGAATTGCCTGGGCCCCCAGCAGAGCATTTCCCCTTCTACCATCTACAGCACGGGGCAGGGAGGACCAGAAATGAACAAAGACTTCAAATACCTTCTTGCTCTCACCCATCATGCACTAGATCGCACACTGTCACCACGTGAGCTCTGCTAACAGCAACATTAACGACCACAATAAGAAACAGATCTCTGGTGTGGCTCTCTCCAGCCAACATGGGTCTTGGCATGCACTGAAACAGGAAAACAACCCCCCCCGAGGTTACATCCCTGCATATGCTTGACCAGAAACAGCCCCAGGTACCTGCCCTGGAGCGCAGCTCCGACCAGCACGGCCCAACGCTTCCTCCTTGGTTGATTCTTCCCCTCTGGAAGCTATTTGCCAAGGTTATTTTATAAACTCCTTTCTATTTATAGCACAGCTCCTTCAGCTCTAATGAGATAATCTTCTGGCATCTCCCCATCACTAATATTTACTTTGATGTTTAAAATAACATGTTCTGAGGGATTGATCTTCTGAAAAAAAGAAAAAAACCCTTTAAAACATAATCAAAGCAAAGAAATACCCGACTGGTGCAACGGGGCCAAATGCCTGGTGATGCCCCCGAAGTTAATGACATTGCAACTATTTCAGGGCAGACAGTTTCTAATCCTCTGACCACATTGTACAGGAGGGGAAGAGCCATTGGCAGCTCCTGAAGATGGAGAGAGACAGCAAAAGAGGGAGCGCAGGATGTGTGTATTCTCGGGAATGAAGACAGCGAGGAACGTCTCATTCTGCCGCAGGGATTAGAGCTGTTGCTGTCTGTAATTGAGAGCTTTGCCCGCGGCAGCTCTGGAGCAGAGGATCGCGTTTGAGAGCGGCAAACACAATCGGATGGCTTAACGCAATCAAGCAAGCGGAGTGGCGTGGGGACAGGGGGAGGCGAGGGAGCCGCGAGCGCGGATGCCTGACTCCTGCTGCCTGCAGACGCTTTGAAACACAACCCTGCGTTTTTATGGAAACTCTGAATGTTGGAGAAGGGTGAACATGGTTTTCATTCTCATAAATGTTTTTCCAGCGTGCAATGCTCTTCGGGCTCATTCCTTCTCCAGGGAGACGGTTCTGATTTCAAAGACCATTCGCGCTCCCTCCACCCCAGACCACCCCACTCCAACCTCAAAGAGGCTTCTCTGGAAAGAATCATTTTTAAGAGTGTTTTACCTTTTTGAGTGTTTTCCCTTCTTTCTTCTTTCCCCCCTTTTGAATTCTTTGAGCTTTTTTCTTCTTCTTCTTTCTCGCAGCAGCAGCCAAAAGCTCCTCTCTCCCCCTCGGTCCTGCGCGTGTCAGAAAGTTTCCAGGCTGAGGGTTTATGTCGCCTTCCTCAATAACCTTCTTCTGTCAGACCCAGGCAGCGCTGGAGCAAGAGCCTTTGCTAAGAAGTCTCCTTTCAGGAAGTGAGCAGTAATAAGAGAGCAGCTCACAGGCAGCATGGAGAGGGGCTGCTCAAATAAAGAAAAAAAAAAAAAAAAGGAAAAAAACTTTGCTCAGGAATTTTGCCAGGATTATCCCAAAAAAAAAAAAAAAAGGGAAAAAAAAAAATCCCCAAAGCCAGAGGGCTGTAAAAGTCCCGCCCTGGCTGCTGACATCAGTGCAGAAGGCAGGTCTTGCCTGCAGCACTATAAAACTAATCGGCTTAGCCTTACTCCATAGGAGCAGGCAGGGATCGTTCCCGGCTCACAGGCCGATCCGACACCCCAACATGAAAGCGATAAGGCAACGAGGTCACTGATGGTGGCACACAGCACACAAAGCACATAAAACAAGCCAGGGTTTGGGTGTTCCCCCTCCTCCAACAGCTCCCATCCTTCCTTTTAACAGTAGCTTTCAAACTGCTTGTAAAACACCAGTGCCTGTCTGATGAAATGGCCTTACCAAAAGCCTCTGTGCCCTCCAGTGGGGTTAGGTATTGGCTTTAAGATTAAAAAAGCCCTCATTAACTTGCTCATGTTTTAAGAACTCCCTTCCCTCCCCAGTTACATCATTTGTGCCCTGCTGGCTCCGGCCCTGCCATAATTTCTCTTGTTCTGCTGCCACCATGGAGTGTCCCACAGAGGACAATACAAAGTAAAGAATAAACATTGCAAATACATTAAAATGCTCCTTGTTTCAACACAAAGCCCTCTCAGGACACATAAAACAATAAGCAACCGTAAAGGGCAAGAGCTCATTTCCTTCTCTCTTCTGAAGTCATCTTTTGAGATTAGAAAGCTGAAATGTAAGCCTTGCTAAAGAGAGAATTACCTGGAAATTCAGCAAATGTTATAAAAACAGGCCTTTCCACAGTGCCAAGCACTGCCCAACTTTTCCCTGGATACAGAGAGGGGCCCTGGGGCAGGACACAGGGAAAGGATGGCAGGACCGGGCAGTGGTCCTCCAGCTTGAGCCCATCTCTGGAGACAGAAGGACCCCAAAACCGCATTCAAGGAGCCTTTGAAAAGATCTGAATGAAGAGTAAAGAAGTGAAAAGCTCCTGGGGGAAGAGGTAAGCTGAGTCTGAGACCAAACTCCTTGACCGTGAGACCCCTCTGCCCGGGAGCAGACGGCAAGAAGGGGCTCTGTGAGGCGGGCAGGGGGCTTGTAGCCCTGTGGTGCGGGTGCCATGTCTGCAGGACAAGCAGCTCCTCCAGACTCCGTGTCCTGGCCTGGCCCTTCCAGGTCAGCACGTTGCCAAATCCACAGCATTCAGCCCTTGGGCAGGCTGGACAGCCGGGGCTCTTGGTAATGGTCCTGGGTGCCACCCAGGCTGACCCAGCACTGGTCTGTAACCATCTGACCATTAGATGGGAATGGAGAAAGAAAAAGCCACAAAGGCTTTTTGTTCCAGCCCAACATCCTACCCCAATGCTGGCCATGGCATGCCTCAGAAAAGTGATTAAGAATAAAGCATGAAGCTGTGGTGCTTTTTGTGGTATATCCTCTTACATCCACTGCTATCAAGAGACTAAGTGCAGGGCTGAACCCAAGCCAGAAGCTCTGTCTTTGCATTTAACAGCCATTATTCATTTGCTTCCATAAATCTGTGTAAACCCTTACTGAAGCCCTTTGAACTCTGCTCCCTGGATGGAGCAGCAGAGTGACCTGAGCAGGAGATGCCCAGGAGGGACCTCCTGCGCCTTTGATGATCTCAAAGTATCTGGTATTGCCTGGTAGATGTGCTCATCCTAATAGCCCTGAAAAAACAAGGGAAAACATCCTTTGCTCCCAGAAGGAGATGCCAATGGTGGGAGTTCACAGCCCCCGTCCCTTGGAGCATCCCAACACGCACACAAGAGCCACTCTCCCTTACAGGCGTTCAGACTGGAAAGGCCTGGCTCTCCATTTGAAAACTGAGTTCAAAGGGGCTGGAATTGCTGGGCTGGAGTTTTGGCTGATTCCCTGGCTGGGTGGAAAGAGCAGTTTCCTTCCTCCCCAAGCCCTGCTGGCCATTGTCTGAGCCCCCAAAGCACACACATACAAGAGCAACTAAACAAAGTATTTGGGGGTTAACTGAATGCTGCTGCTTCTGGCCAGGGAAAAGCTAATTGCTCAAAGCATGGCCCAGAGCCATACCAGGGGCAGCTGATGATACATGCATACAAGCATCTGCTGATGCTTGTCTCCAAACACACTCGGGGCATAATGAAGCGGGACTGAGGTGCAGGTGCCCATCTTCCCTGCTCAGCAGGGAGCAGTTCATTGCTACCTGCCCTTTCCCTTCCCAAAGAAACTTGCTTTTCCCCGATGTGCAGGGTCTCCAGTCCCTCCTGGATGCTAAATACAGTGTTAGAGACTCCTGACATACAAGGGTACACAATCCGTGTGCCTTGGGCGAACCCTGCAGCCTGGTACCCAAGACCAGTCCTGCTCTGAGGACCCTCTTAAACTTGTACCAGGCCTGGGTCTTACTCCAGTCTCAACCTGTCTCTGAAGGGGCGATGGAGCCACCGCAGAGCTGTGCACACCTTCCCAAACCTGCACAAAAACCCCGAAAATAGGGAGAGGTAAAGGGACAGGATACTCACAAAAAAAAGAAGCAGAGGGTATTGGACTCTACCTGAAAAAAGGGTTTCACAGGCAACTGACAGTCACTGCAATTCACCTCCAACATCAAACAGTGCCAAGGAGTTGCTTCCTCTTTCTAGGATGAAGAGATGAGAAGACACTTGAAATCCTCTCCCTGTGGCAACCCTGCATCCTCACTCACCCCTGGGATGAGCACAGCACCAGCACCCGGTCCCCGATGCTCAGCAGCCTGGTGACACTGCACCCTCCTGTGGCTACACGTGGCAGAAGCCGCGTGCTCGGGTCCTGCGAGGTCCAGGCTGGTACAAACCCTGCAGGGGTGATGCACTGAGCCCTGGGGAAGCACGAAGAGCAACGATTCCAGGCAGGCTTTGTGCTGTAGCTTCTCAGTGCTGCTGGGCAATGCTCACAAACACCCAGTGTGCCCAGCTGCAGCACCAGCTTGCACAACACTAAGGCCAGTGCTCATTTTAGGGCTTGAAAGGCAGCAAACTCTATCCTGGGCGCCATTAAAACACATAAGGAATGATGCTGAGGCCTGATGGGGTAATTTTGTAGAACCATTTTGTACGTGAAATAAAATATTCTCTCTTTTGCTATGTCTAAACTGCACGGCCTGGGCAAAGTTCCCAGCTCTGGCTCTACATCACAGCCTGGCCCCAAGTCCGTGTTGGGACTCGCTACTTGGCCACAGCCTAACCCTTTTTATGGTTGTACAGCACCTAACACAACAGTCCATTCAGCCTTTTAGCTACTGCTGTAATAAACAAATCACTCTGCTCTGTCTGTAGCCCAAACACTGCAGGTTGAGAACCTGCAAGTGAAACCAGCTGTAACCAAGTGGGTTTGGTTTGCCACTAGTTCAGACACGTGCAAACTAACTGCCCACCACTAAAACTCAGCCTCAACAGTCCCAGGTGTTCGATAAAATGGGGTTGGCATCTCCCAAACCTGTAAATCCAGCTTGAAGCTTTGGAAGCACAGCCATCGAAAAGCCTTTATCAAGATCATTGTACATCACCTTGTGGGGATTTAGGGGAAGGACGCCTTGCTGAGGGGTCAGGACAGAGCTCTCTATCACTGCAAAGGGGGTGTGTTGGGATGCTGCGTTTTCATCCTTGTAAACTGCCCAAGTGACTCATCCCTTCTATCTCAGGATCTCACCTTGTCCTTGGAAAAATCTTTACTATGGATGTCTGTGTACAGCCCCACCTCCAAGTGTAAACAAAGGGGTCCTCAAGGGGGATTTGGCAATGAAATGCCATTCAGTTGAGTAATGCTGAAAGATAACTTGCATTTTGCATATGTAACCTTATTACCACATGGTGGTATTCCAATCAGTCCTGAACATAAGCTCAACTGGCAAGAACAGGATCCTTGTCCCAGCTTCTTTTACAGTAGAGTCTTCTGCCTGCAGTGAGTCTCTTTGGGATTCTCCATCCACCTCATTGGGGCACCTCTTTGCATTCAGCAGACAGAAGTCACAGTGCTGGAGCCTTTCTTCCCATTCACCAGGAGCTGGCCCTGAACACTGACCCTCTACCCATCTCTTTCAGGAAATGAGGTGATGGTGAGCTGTTTACCACGGCTAATGATGAAACACAGAAGCTTTTCCCTTCTGGAGAGGGAGACACGTCCCTGAGGAGCAGCTGAAAACCCTGCCAAAACCAAGCACCATTTGGTGGGACTGGTTTTGGATGGTTCCTAGCCCAGCTGGTTGTGTTATATGGCCATTTTAGCACAACAAGAGCTAAACAGAAAGCAGGGCAGGAAACATAGGCTAGGAGAGGCTTCTCGAGTTGCTGAGCCTAGGTCTTGACCATCACAAACCACAACTCCAAAGGAGCCCTACTCAGAGACAGCTCTTCACCTTCTTCCTCAGATCTGTTTTCTTCCATAGAAGACCCATGCCCTGACACTGAGAAGCTCTCCGAGCTCTTTCACCCTTCCGTGCTACACAGCTTTTATTTTCTCTTCTTTCCTTTCCTGTGCAGCAAGGAAATAGGTCACATTTCAAAGAAACCAGCAAACAGAGGTTAGCGAATGCTAGGCAGCTCACTGGATGCTGTGGCCCGGTCCCCTCCCATCTTCCAAAAAGCAACGTATTTCTCACTCGCCAAAGAAAACTTTCCCTCTTTTTTTCCTTTCTGTCTTCAAAATCGCTGTGGCCAAGCCCTGACAAGACATCCCACCCATCTGCAAGCCAGGTAAGAGGCACTTTTTGCTGTTGGTACCTTTAATAGCTCTTAACGCGCCACGGCTGCTGCTTCTTTGTCTCGTACCTTTCTGCGCACCCTGGAGCACTGGGGGTTTGGTGGCAGGAGGGGAGATCCTGTGCAACGTTGGTGTCAACAGGCCCAGATTTATTCACCGTGTGGCTGCTCTGCCTTGTCTACTGATTATGCCATTGGTTCAGAAAACTGGTGTAAGTTTAGGGACCATTGTCTTCTCTTTGAAGTCAGGGGTGGATTTAGGTCAGAAGATGCTGAAACAACAGCCTGTAGCCCAATATTCAGGCCAGATGTTCTCTTTTTACCCCCCGGACATAACATCAAAACTTGTCTCCTCTGGAAGTTCCTCTTTAAACTGCCTACCAGCTTTAGTGGCAATGTGGGAACATTTAGGATACCTGGCACATGCTGAATGATGCTCCAAATACTTGAGAAGGACTTCAGGGATTTCCTACTGACAAATACACCAGCAAATATACCCCAAACCAGAGGCCTCTGTCAAACTCACATTTACTTCCTTCTATTTCTTTGTCATCTCGTCTGTTTTGCTCTGCACTTGATGTGAAAAACAGTTCCAAGTCCCATCAGTTCAAGGTTATGGAATAAACCAGAACAAAGGAAAGTTGAGATTAAACCTCAGAAAACATTTCCTAATGGGCAGATCTATTAGACTGTGGAATAAACACCACAGGGACGCAAGGGAAAGCCATCACATGAGCAGAACTGGAGAGGGGACCAGAGAAGAGATGAACGAACTGATCTACATGGTTATGCTTTCTGAGGTATTTATGATATCTGTATTTTCAACCTTTCATCATCCTTTTTCCTCTGGAGAAGAGAAAGGGTCCAAGTCTCTGAAAAGCTTGCTGAAGCTCCTGGGAATGGGATCTCCTAAAGAAAACATGTATGATGCCACAACAGCGGTTAGAATCCACACGTAAACACATGAGCGTGTTCAATGACTTTAAAAGTTAATTCCCATGAAGACCTTAACCAGAAAGAGGGTTTCCTCAGAACTCTCAGACAGGAAGGATTATGCCACAATCTCTGTAGAGCCCTGTGAAGCAACTGGCTTCACAGAAAGCAGAAAACCTCAGAGGCACCAGGCTCTGTACATGATCCAAGCTCACTCAACCGGCTACGTAAAACTTGGCTTGAGCAGCCCAAGTCTGAAAGGTCCAATGTGGTCAGAAAGGACAACAGATGTGTCAGTTAAGCCAAGCTTTGACTCACTCAAACCCCAAGCAGCACAAAAGCTGAGATGCCAATGGCAAAGGATGCCGCTGAGATGATGGTTCTTTCATTTCTAACTGCTGTGTTGGTCTGAGTTGAGTGACGTGACTGGGAACAGGAAGATGCAGGGAGCAGTTGTTACCACGGGGCAATGAGAAAATTAATCTAGAGTGTTAGAAACACACACAAGTACAGAGAGCTGTTATCAAATAACTTAAAGCCCCCCACATTTTGTTTATCACTTGCTTTCCCAGGGATCTCTGCTAACTCATATGGTAGCATCAAGTGAGCAACATCAAACAGACTAGGTTAGGAACTGAAGTATAATACTTGCATAGTCCTTTCCTCACTGGTGCAGGAATATGCGCTTTAAACACAGTTTTCATCACTCAATGTGCTTCCTTAGTCTTGTAATAACCCCAGAGGTGCCAGGAAAGGCTTTCCATGGAATTGCATGGGCAGAGCAGAGATCAGAGCCAGGCTGGAGAGAGCCCTGAACAGATTCCAGAGGCCATGGAGGACACGGGGCAGCTTTCTACAAACTCCATGCAGAGCCAGCAAAGTTATAGCCACTGTAAGGGAGGCAGAATGGCTAAAGCATGAACTAAGGTCTTAGATAACTCTGCTTCCCTAAATTCTATTCAAATAACTGTAAAAAAGCCTTTGCCATTATTATTTAGAATAAACCAAAAACCCTGTGCAGATCTAGCCCATTATTTCTCCATGCCTATGTTATATACTTGGAAATAGAGATAGCAGACTGCCTGTAAGTGGAACATTTCAACACTCAGAACACACCTTTTCATATAGGAAATGACTGATGGTGAACACAAACTTCCACTACCACTTGCAAGTCACACGCTTTGCCCAAACACATGCTGGTCACACACAAACACATCCTTACCCTTCAGAGCTAATAAGCCTTTGCAAGAAGAGCAGAGCTGGTCAAGTCCAAGCCTATAGCTTGCCCTGCCTCCAGTTGTATTCATTTTCCTCTTCAGGAACTCCCTATGACCGCCCTGTAATCCTGCACAGTCTGAAGTTTAATCCTCATAACACACACCAGCAAATATAGCCTCATTCTGCTTTGAAATAGTGCTCAAAGAAATCCACAACAAGAGCAATGAGGCAAAGTTTGCGCTTCCATGTTGATGAAGACCTACCCCAAGACTGTCACTAACCATCAGGACAGTGTTTTACACATGCAGTTTTGGAAGTTCAGCTGGATGTTGCAGAATTCCCCTCCTTCTTACAGATTAGATTTCAAGCTCAGATTCATCTTTTGTCTTCTAAAACTCCAAGCAGAACAACTGATGCTCAATAACCTTTGCTGTCGAGCTGCAGATGCTAGGCTCTGGGCTGAGTTTCTACTTTATTTGCCTAGTTTATAATCTTAAAGCTCCAGATCTGCCAGTGCAGTGCCCAGGCTCCAGTCAATCCTAGTGTAGCTCCATCACTGCTCTGGCCCTTCCTACAAACCTGGGAAAATATTCCCTGGGATGTTAAACATGCCCTTGGCATACAAGAACCATCTCCCACTTCTCCGTGGCTACTTTGGTGAGTAGCACGTGCCAAAGAGAAGCATGGAGATCTTAAATTCATCACCCAGTGGACCATTTTCAGAAGCCCCTTGTGAAGCATGACCTCAAACTGCTTCTGCCTGCTGATTGCCATCATCTCTCAGTTCATACCAGGGCAGATTAGCCAAAGACATCGTTTCCTAAGTCACAGAAGCCTCTTAAGCCAGTAACAGCCTTTGGCTTCCAGCAGGATTGGGGTGCCTGATTTGCTGCTACTCAGTGCCTGCCTCTGCGCTATGTTCACAGCTACCTGGGCTGGCTTTGGGACTGGGAACATCTGGCTGTGGTCACCCCATGCAATGCTAGCGCAGGATCTTTGTGGGCAAGAGGGGTTAAAGGCAGCCACAGCTGCTAAACGCTTCTGCATACCATTGGGCAGACCCTGCATGAGCTGAGCAGCCAGTTCACACAGGACCTTCTGCAGGTGCATCACAACATAAGGATCCTATGCAGCAACCCTGTACTTGTACTTGGACACTACTCCTGAGCATGCAAAAAACCCTCATAGGACTGAAGTCATTAGCAACTGCATGGCTAATCTGGACTGAAAGGGATGGCAGGAGGGTTTGTGCTCTTCTCTCAGATCATGCAGAATTACTTTAGCAGGGACAGGCGATGGGTTGGCCCAGTGAAGAACACATTATTCACTTTTTCCCTTGCCCATCTGCTATCCTGCTCCTACCTGCCTCTTCTCCATCGCATTAGAAAACTCCCAGCATGCAGCTCTGGACCACATCACACTGGGATCTATAAAGTTGTTGGGATCTGCAGGTGGAAAGTTCACAAGGTTTCATTTAATCTTATTATTTTTTTTTTTAAAGTGAAAATCATGACTCTCTTTCCATCAGATGCTTGTGCAGATCCCAGAGATTACTTGTGAAATTGTACACATAAGGTTTGCCCCTCCTTACCTAGTCGAGATTATAATCTTTCATGCCCAGAGCTAAGAAAGCAGAGGTAGCAATACCCAGCATAGATATGATATGACAACTAGAGCCTTATTTTATTAAGTTAATACAGCTCTAGGGAGGAGTGTGAGACTACGCACATTTCTACAAACCAGTGGAAGAAGCATCCTCCCTACATCCTGCATCTGAAATTCAAGGACCTGTAGCCATTGTCATACAATCCCAGACTGGTTTGGGCAGGAAAGGACCTTAAAGCCCATCCAGTCCCAACCCCTGCCACGGGCAGGGACCCCTTCCACTGGAGCAGCTTGCTCCAAGCCCCTGTGTCCAACCTGGCCTTGAACACTGCCAGGGATGGGGCAGCCACAGCTTCTCTGGGCACCCTGTGCCAGCGCCTCAGCACCCTCCCAGGGAAGAGCTTCTGCCTTATATTTAACCCAACTCTCCCCTGTTTAAGTTTGAACCCAGGACAGAAGAATATCAGTGAGGGTCCTGCCAGACTCAAACGGTGCAGATGGGTACTCGGCACAGACTCCAGTGCTGTGGCTGAGCTGGGAAAGAAGCCAGCAAACACTGCCCTAGGGAACATGATTCTGATACAGGAGCCAACAACAGAGAAGAGCCCTACAGCCACAGCAAAGTGTGGCAATAGCTGCCAGAAGCACGGGTAGGGTTTCCAGTGGTGCCTGCATCCCTCCAAAACCCTGCTCCAAGGGCAGGGTTAAACAGCACCGGGCACTCCTGGGAATTCAGCTGGGCCCACACAAGGCAGGACTTGCCCTGCTAAGAGGACTCTCTGCTAAGAGTGCTAAAGAAAAGCCTATTTACAACTGACTGTTGCTGCTGTGGCACACCCACTATGCAATGAGCTGTGAAAGCAACTACAATTGTGTGAGCGGTGCCCCAACAACTGCCAGGAACATCCAGCCTGTCCCTCCATGGCTGGATGCAGTCCCACAGCCTAGAGCGCTCTGCAGGACAAAGCTCATGGACCACAATGTTCTCTCCTTGGAGACTCTGGGTTATTGGCATCCCACATGGCCAGTTGGCAAGGGGAGGAGGCTGCAGCAGAAGATGAGTGACCAGAAAGTTTCCTGTGAACCCTCTGCTGCTTGTTCTAGTGTCTTGCGTCCAAGAGGGAAAAGAGGATGGGTGCTTGCAATGGGGTGGTTGGGTACAAGGTTAGTTCAAAGTTGGTTTTCCTTGGTGGAAAACTTAAGGCAGATGGTGCATTTTGCCCGTGTAAGAACAGATT